CTCTCCAAACTGGTGGAAGACAACGAGCAAGGTACGAGGCCGCGGGTTGGCTCCTGGCAGCGTGCCTATCCTGCTCGTGATTACTTCGAGTCGGGGTCGCTATGCGCCGGCGCGTGGCGTTCGATGCGCTTTAATCTCACGTCAGAGGTTGTGGTATGGTTATTCGCCTCTCGCCTGTTATCACCTGTCCATTCGTTCTGTGATGCTATTCAAATTTCCGTTGAACGTATCGCGACCCGGCACCACTTGGAATGCTGTACTATACGTGATCGCATGGGGTTGGACCACTTGCCATTGTAGCTCCGGGTGTAACGGCCAGATAGGACAGATTCGAATGCCGATCGTTACATTTAATCTGTTTGGTACGCGGTTTTCTCAGCAAGTACACTTATGTGACCCAAGCTATCACAGATAACTGAACACACAAATAACAAGGAAGGCTTGCAAGTGGCAGCGTATCCTTCAGCGGGCGTAGTTTTGCCGTGAGGACCTTTGGACTGGTGTGAAGGAAAAGGGACAATCTTGTGTGAGGTGCCTTGTAGTCCCTTTTTGCATCAGGCAAATGGTCACAAGTTATCTTTGGTTCGTTGTCAAACTGAGGTGATGTCAGATCATGCTAGTCAGATAAGATCAGGTCAGTCAGGTCAGTGGATCAGGTCAATCAGGTCAGTGGATCGAGTCAAGCAGGTCACTTGATCAGATCAATCAGGTCAGTTGATCAAGTTAATCAGGCCAGATGATCAGGTCAGGTCAATCGGGTCAGTCGATCAGGTCACCGGCGTGTCCGTAAATATCATGCCGTGAATGACGATACTCTGGTCAGCGTTACTAGACTACTGCTCGCCTTATTTGCTTCCAGTGCAGGAAGCTTTTGCAACCTAGTGCGGACGCATGCATTCGTCTTCAATTAGTTGACCGATGTGGCGCGTTTCGTTGACAATGCGGTTTTCTGTTACAAAATATGCAATATTGACCATCTGACAACTCACGAGCCTTCGCTGTGGCCACATTTACCGATTAGCGCCCCGCAGTGTATGCCAGGGAGGAGAGGGGAGGGTCTCGGCACTACAACACGCGGTCGAGGGTTAATCCAGGTCAAAAGAAGATTAAAGCTCATCTCCATTAAATCTTCATCAAATCTTCAGGTGTGCCGGCGTGAATTGAACCGACCGTCACGTGCCCGTGTTGGCGTTATGCCCGGCGCGCGGCCCCGTCTGACGCTGGCCGGTCGCGTGCAGGCCGCATCTTCTCGATGGTGATGGTGATCGAGAGCCTGTGCTCGCTGTTCGGCTCGCTCGTCTACAACAGCGTGTACCCGGCCACGCGGCGCCACCTGCACGGGCTCGTCTTCCTGCTGGGCGCCGCCAGCCTGCTGGTGCCGGCCGCGCTGCTGGCCGTGCTGCGCCACCAGCTAAGCCGCAGCGGCCAGCTGCACCAGCTGCACCAGCTGCAGTCCCCGGCCTCCGCCGCGCACGCACCGGCCGACGGGGAGAGCGATGACGACGGCGCAGAGGCGCCGGAGGGGGCGGCCGAAGCGCAGGGGGCTGCAGCGGACCGTGAGG